CAGCATGCCTATGATAGAGGATGAAGGCGAGTTTTATTATTGGGATGGATGGATGGATGAATGAATGAATGGGATGGATGGTGCTAGTAGGGTAGATTAGATGGGTAAAAGCGAAATTCATTGATTTGTTCAATCTTGAGGTGTGATCGCGTGAGATTTTATGCACATGACAGTATGACTACGATATTCCCTTTCAAAAAATACAACGGTGTCGATCAAAACTCAGACGTAAGATGGAATTCTTAAAGTGATTGATTTTCAACATAGGATTAATAAACAAGTTGGGACGCCGGTGTTATTGTGCTGTATTTGGTTTTCGCGGGGATGTCCCAATCGGGTAACTTGTTGAAAGCTGTGGATTGCGGTGGTAGGTGCCTGGTTTGTTACCACAGGGCCTCACGGCGTCTGGAAGTCACGTATGCGCGTGAATATGATGGATGAGGATGCGTATTACGAAGGTAGATTCTTGAGCTGGAGTGTAGCTCGCAAAGAATGTTGTTTGCCAACAGATGTTCTTCTTAGATGGTCTCATCAATGGAGTGGTGGAGGTTGTGGTAATGGTGTAGTTCAGGCGCGTTGTCATTAGATATCCTCTCCTTATGGCTCCCAACGAGATCTCTCAAACACGCGCTTCCAATGTTTGCTATGGCATCACAAAGCAGAGTATCCCTTAGATGGCTCGGTGTTCTTTCTCCCTCTTCCCCACTTCCGACACACATCGCATTTCACCGCTGGCTAGGATCTCGGCAGCACCGAGTTCACGGATCATCGGCGCACCCAATAAAACTCGTCAGAACCCACGATCCATCTCCAAGCATAAACGTGGCCCATTTCATATCGTCCGAAACATGCATATTTGAAACGAGAGTGGACTGGACAAGCCTCATCAAATCCGAAGAGCCGCCTGCGCACCGCCACATTTCGACTTCTTATTCGTCGAGTTATGCACAGTCCGATCACGATGATACTTGTTGTGAGAACGCGTGGCAGTGCAAAAGCATAGCAGTAGCGCAGCTTCATTCTTCCGCTCTCCGCAAACTACTCCGAGCTCACTAAGGGGCGATCTCTCTGGAAAATCTTAGGGCAGCTGGCCAGGCCCTGGAGGCCAAAAATAAAAACCACCCGCCAGAGATGCCATGGCAGAGCCGCGTACCCGGCGTTAAAACGGCGCGTTGGGACAGCCAATGGCTGGGCGTGCCTGGGGGAAGGCGGCTAGGGTCTGGCTCTAGCGAGGCGTCACAGCTCCCTCTAGCGCCGACATCTTGACAGGGCACGACAGGGATCGACGGTCCTTTTCCATCCGCTCTCACGGGCAAGGGACGCGAGGCACTGCTCGTAGCTCTGAACTCTCTCTCACTGCCGTTACTGCTTACTGCTGCCGTTGCTTGCTTCACTCTTGGCTTTCCTTACACTCTGCTTTGTACTCTCTTTCTGCTTTGCGCGTATACCCACTTGTCATTTTTCCTTGTGAAGAGCAGGCCGCCGAATAAACCCGAATACGACCAACGGCGATCTTTACGATACAGCAGATCTTACTCAGATCTCAGTGAGAGAGAGAGGGGAACACGAGGAAGACATGCGCTGAGCTCTCGGACCCGAGATCGACCCCCAATACCACGTGTACCCATCACACGTGCTACCACAATCGCTACCACACCTTCGCTACACGTTACACCCGTCACTCGCTATGGCATCCACAGTACCGAACGTGCTGCTCCGGCGGGACCTGAGCATAGAGCAGAAGTTCGAGCAGTTGATGACAGAAAATGCCCTGGGCGCTTCGGTACATGCAGCCCCATATCTGTCGCATACGACTCTAACATCCCCAGGTATCCCAAGACTCTGTCCTCGTCGCTATCGGCACATCCTTCGGCATCACCGCCGCCATTTTCATACTTTTCCTCCTACTACGCCCTTTTAATACTATCGTTTACGCGCCCCGTCTCCGACACACCGACGAGAAACACCGACCGCCGCCTCTCGACAAATCGCTGTTCGCGTGGTACAAGCCCGTGTTCAAGACGAACGAACCCGAATATGTTGAGAAGATTGGACTGGATGCGACCATCTTTCTGCGTTTTGCGCGCATGTGCAGGAACATGTTTGTCGTCCTCGCCATCGTTGGCTGTGCGGTCATCGTTCCCGTCAACGTCATCAAGTCGGTGGAATTCCAGAAGAATTTCGATGGAGACATGAGCGGCAAGATCATCTTCCTGATGACACCTAGAGATCTATTCGGTCAGGTTTTCTGGGCTTTCGTCGTGCTGGCATACCTTATCGACATCATCGTCTGCGGCTTCTTGTGGTGGATGTACCGCGCTGTACACCGGATGAGACGCCAGTACCTCGAGCACCCAGACTACCAGAACAGTCTGCACGCGCGGACGTTGATGGTTACGGACATCGACCGCAGCTTTCGCAGCGACCAGGGCATTGTGGAGGTTACGGATAGCTTGAAGACTACGCCAGAGGTGCCTCGCGCGTCCATCGGACGCAACGTGAAGGACATCCCAGATCTTATCGAGGCACACGAAGAGGCGGTCATTGAGCTGGAGAAGATATTGGCAAAATATTTGAAGAACCCGAACAAACTACCTGCGGAGCGACCGCTATGTACTCCCTCCAAGAAAGACCCAGAGTTCACCGACAAGGCGCAAAAGGTGGATGCAATCGACTACCTCACAGCGCGCATTCAGCGATTAGAAGGCAAGATTAAGGAGGTGCGGGAGACAATTGACAAGCGCGATGCTCTATCGTACGGATTCGCTAGCTACGAGAGTATCGACTCTGCACACATGGTCGCCTTCGCAGCCCGCAGCAAGCACGTCAAAGGCACTACCGTCCGACTTGCGCCCAAGCCAAAAGACATCATCTGGAAAAACCTTACCCTCGACCCCAAGACGCGACGATGGAGGAGGACCGTGAACAACTTCTGGATCACCCTACTCACACTCCTATACTTCATCCCCAACGCCCTGATCGCCGTCTTCCTGTCCAAACTCTCCAACCTGGGTTTTGTATGGCCTACCTTCCAGACCGAACTGGCCGCACACGCCGATTTCTGGGCCGTCGTTCAAGGTCTCGCAGCCCCGGCGCTCACCTCACTCTTTTACTACTTCCTCCCCATTATCTTCCGTCGCTTGTCCATCAAGGCCGGAGACACAACCAAGACATCCCGAGAGCGCCATGTCACAGCACAATTGTACGCCTTCTTTGTCTTCAACAACTTGTTCGTCTTCTCGCTCTTCAGCGCCGTCTTCGGCATGATTGTCATGATTGTCAATCTCGCGACCCAGGAACACGTTCCATTCATGGACATTCTACGACAAATCAAGTTCTTCGACACGACCATGCGTACCCTGTGCGAAGTCTCGCCCTTTTGGGTTACCTGGCTCGTCCAGCGTAACTTGGGTGCTGCTATCGATCTTGCCCAGGCTGTCAACCTCGCGTGGGGAAGTTTCTCGCGCAAGTTCTTGAATCCGACGCCTAGGGAGCTGATTAGTCGGACTGCGCCGCCGCCGTTTGACTATGCGAGTTACTACAACTACTTTTTGTTTTACTCGACGGTTGCGTTGTGTTTTGCGCCGTTGCAGCCGATCACGCTGGTCATTGTGGCGATTTACTTTACGCTCGATAGCTGGATGAAGAAGTATCTTCTGATGTGAGTCTTAACTCTAATACCCTCGAATACCGCACTAACATATGTTTAGGTACGTCTTCTGCACCAAGAACGAGTCGGGTGGCGCATTCTGGCGTGTGCTCTTCAACCGCATGCTCGTTGGCACGTTCTTCTCCAACTGCATCGTTGCACTGCTGGTCGTAGCCCGCGGTTACGAACACAAATGGACTATGCTGGCCGCCATGGCACCCCTTCCTCTCGGCCTAATCGCCTTCAAGTTCTACTGCAAGAACGCCTTCGACCACTCGCTCAAGTACTACACCCAAGGCACACGCGCCAAGGGCACCGAAGCCCCAACCCCAATAGACAAGGAATCGCGTCGAAGGGATCGCGTCGCCGTACGATTCGGGTAAGTCCATCTACACTCTGCAAGGCCAAACACCATTTACTGATATGTTGTAATAGCCACCCAGCCCTCTACCAAAAGCTCACCGTCCCCATGGTGCACGAAAAATCCAAACACCTCCTCGCCGAAGTCTACCGCGGCCGCCTCGACGGCGACATCGGCGACACCGCCGCCTTCTCCGACGTCTACACCATGAAACGCATGTCCAAAGAACACCCTGGTAAAACCGCCTCTGCCAACATATCCAGTGGAGGAGGGGGCAACACCGGCCCCTTTGAATTCGTGTCGGAATCGAATATGGACTTTGAGAATTACAAGAACAGACCTGAGTTTAGCGATGAACATGGCGGGGAGGGCAGTTTGTATGGCGGTAGTACGGTGGGGAGGCCTGATACACCGGGTTCGCACTGGGGCCGCGATAACTCCACTAATAATAGTGATCGTGGGAGGAGTACAAGTCGCGATTCTGAACGTACCATGCGCGATGATCCGGGCGTGTTGTACCCTGCTGGCTACCATCAGACACCCAGTGCGTTGCGCGAATATAGTCCTACTCCTAGCTTGGATTTGAGGGGCGTGGATAGTAGGGGGGAAAGTCCGTATGAGATTGGAGGAGGGGATCAGGGGAGGTTGGTTAGTGGGGCTGCGCCTATGGGTGTGGGGAGTGGGTTGGCTGGACATGGGGGGCAGCAGTATACGCCGTATAGTCCTAGTAGGGATGGGGCGAGGGATTACTTTGCCAGGTAAAATATCATAACAGATGACGAATTTCCTATGTATAGACAGTTGCAAGCGAGCGGCATGTGGAGTGGCGTCGTTTTGAAGATTTAGATACCAATCGATTACTTCTCATCGGATCAGCGATCTTCTAGCAGATTTGGGTGTACTATCAGTCGCGAGTGATGTAAAAACGAGACTGCGAGATGAATATATACGGTATGTTGAACAAGAATCCATAGCTATACAACCCGCGTACTAAATCGCTCTGAAATTCTTCCCAACGGAAACATGACTAGGCATCAAATCCCTCAACACCTCCAAATCCCCCACCCCCAGCGGATTAACCCCCCAAACCGCCAAATCCGCCACAAACCCCGGTAAAAGCCGTCCCCTCTCCCCCTCCTCCCTCAGCAGCTCCGCCGCCTTAGTAGTATGCAACGCAACCGCTTCGTGCACAGTAATCGCTTGCTCAACCCCCCTAACCCCAACCACAGTCTCTCTTGACGCCATCCCCCAAACCGACCGCATAGCCGCAAAACTCCCAACAGGATAGTCGCTCCCGCCCGCTATCAGCGCACCAGCATCTAACCACATCCGCGCGGGGAAGGTGCGGGATACGCGGTCGCGGCCCCAGTATACTTCTTGTACGCCCGCTGCGTTGTGAAGAAGCGGATGTTGGATCGTTGTCGCAATACCCAGCCCCACAGCACGTTTCTGCTCACTCGGCGACACCAAACCCCCATGTTCCATAACCAGAGTCCCAGGCTGTAAGTAAGAAAACCGGTGCATGAGTTCTTCGTATACATCCAGTACCAATTTCACAGCACGGTCGCCATACGCATGTGTTCCTATTTTCCATCCGCGACGCACAACGGCGGTCATGGCTTCGACGAGCGCCTGTTTCTCCCACGTGAGCACACCGTGGTAGGAAGGGAGGCCGCAGCAATTGCAATCTGCGTCTTTTTCGCGGCCGGGGGGTATCTTGAGGAAAGGTTCAGAAACAGCGCCTGCTTCCATGCCGCCGTCGACCATGAATTTGACGCCCCAGACGGAGAGGTAGGGGTCCGTTTGCAGGTGCCGGTATGATTCCATTTTGGAGAGGAGGGTCTCGACTTGTGGGGCGGTAGTCATGCCTACGGCGGGTATCAAGGCGTGGACGCGCACGGCAAGTTTTCCGGCGGAGTAAGTGGCGATGAGGGCGTCTAGGTCGGCGAGCGGGACGTAGCAGTCGCGGACGCTGGATGTGCCTGTTAAGGCGTAGGCGCGGCTTGCGGCTTCTAGACCGCAGATGCGTTCGGAGAGGGTGGCGGAGGGTTTTAGTTTCAGGATGGGGATGGTGGCTGAGTCTTGAAATAGACCGGACAGACTTCCGTCTGCTTCTTTTCCAATGAGGCCGCCCGGTGGTGAGGGGGTGGAGGAGGTTACGTTTAGCAGGTTCGCGACGACCGAGTTGACTACTACATTGTGACCACCGCGCATCACCATGATGGGATGTTTGGTAGACACGGCATCGAGTTCCTTCAGCGTCGGCAGTCTCTGCTCCTTGATATTATACTCCAACCAATCCGTCGCCGTACAAATCCACTCCCCCTCTTTCGTCTCGCTCGCCCGCTTCTTCAATCTTGCGAACAGTTCGTCTAAGCTCTTTACGTCATTGACCGGCACGTCGAAGTAGGTCAATCCGGCGAGAATCAGATGGGTATGCGTATCTGTGAATGCGGGGAGGACTGTGGAGTCTGGCACGTCGATGATCTGGGTTTCGCTGCCGATGAAGTCGTCTAAGCCGGATGGGTCCTCGGAGAGTGCGATGATGCGGCCTGAGAGGAGGGCTATGGAGCGCTGTGGTGGCATGCCGGGTTGGAGTGTTTCGATTGTGCCGGCGCGGATGAGGGTGTCTGCTTGGGGCTGGGAGGTCGATGAAGCCATGGCGGGCGAAATGTGCTGTGCTGTTCTAGAAGTGGTGACGCTGGTTTGAAGTTATATCAGAGAAGTAGTTGTTTTGCTCATATAGTAGCGCAACGCTTTCAAGCACTTGCTCGTCCTACTTGTACTCAATCGTTCGGCCGAACGTCCGTCGCGGATGTTAATGCCCCTCGACATGCGTTACAGTCAATCCATGACTTTATGCGGACGCGTGACAGCGTGTTCATATAGCGCCGCATCTCCAAGTTGTGGCTTGACCGACATCGTGACCAGGTCTGTGGCGATGGATGTTCGACGTGGATGTCCTAGCTAGAGGTCGGTGGTCGCGTGCTTAGTAGGCCGAAAACGGCGTTCGGGCTTAGACCGCGCCGTATGTCACTACGGCTAAATGTTGATGTCAAACTCTATAGCTGTGAAGTCAGTACGACGAAGGTTGTACGAAGCGCAAACGGAACCGTGCGAACCCAACTTGAGACATCGCACATCGTTTCTCCGCAGATTGTGCGTGCGCGCCCGACGAGGCAAGGACAGCTGACAGCTCGATCATTGTACGATGGCGTTAATGAAAGAAGTGTGCACAGTCTTGATTCGGTTGTCATTTCTCTTGCCGTTCTTGGAAATATAGAATCAACCATCACCCAGTAATGCGTAAGCATTTCCCTCCTGCGGCTTCGCCTGCATTCTCTGGACAAACTTCTTCTTCTTCCTCTCTGCTTCCCTCATTTGCTTCTTCCTCTGCTTATTCGATATCTGTTCGCTTGGTATTCCCACACCAGCAGAGGTATATATCTCTTCGATCAATTCCTTCAGCACGTCGTGTTCGGCTAGGATGCGCTTTGCCTGCCCCGGTACACCCATCACGTCCGGTATTGAGGGGAAGTCGGACATGTGACCGGCGATGATGTGCACTGTCCTGCGCAGCCTGGCGTTTTCGTTTTCTTGTGGGTCCCTGGGGTCTATTGTTTGGTCAGGTGCCATCATTGCCCTCGCGACTTTGACCATTTGGATTAACATGCGAAGAGAGTAGAGAGCAGCATGCAGTCTAGCCGTGAGGTGCACAAAAGCCCAACTGTTATCGAACTCGCAATTCAGTACGCGCAGGACCAAGGGTATGGGAGGCGGCGTGTTGAGTTCGGTAAGCACTAGACTGAGACCAAAGAGCGACCATAGGAGCTGTGAGCTGACGGACTTCTCCTCACCCCAGGATCTCAGGCTGCGCATCTGCGACTCCAGGTCATCCACTGGGCTCTGGTCAAAATGCCGAGGGTATATGGGAACTTCCTGGACTGATACTCCTTGCGCTTTCCTTCTGTACTCTTGTACTACCGTATGCTCTTTTGTCGCACGTAGCTTGTAAACCAGTCTACGGATATCGCACCCTATGTACCATGCTGATGCCTGGGATGGCTCTTCAATAAGTAAAGGCAAGTACACGTGCGGGTGTTCGTCGTTGGTAAAGGTTTGGTGCACATATTCAGATAGCCGGACGTCGATCTGAGGCGGATTTACTAAGTCTGGTTCATCAAGGTAAGCCGGCATTGTGGTCTTCGCGACGTAGCGGCTAGCGAAGTCAATGTACCGGGTAGACTTCTGGTCTACATCCTCAGCCTGGTGAGCTAGCAGCTTTGCACTATCCTGTGGGTTCTCGACAAGCGTGTATGCGAACGTCACTAGACTCGTCACTTGTAACTGCTTTCGGATCACGGCTGGTGAGTACGCCTTGATACCAGTAGAGATGTCTGCATCGTGGAGAAATACGATGAGCGTATCTTCGGAATAGTCGTATAGAATAAGGTCGGTGTCGCTCGTGAAGATGATGGATCGTACATGCTTTTTCGCGTGGGATGCGCACCAGTCGTCTGCTTCCCCCGGTACTGTATGGGTATATGTAGCAAAAGGGGAATCTGTCTCTACTAGCGCTTCTTGTAGTGCGGGCGCAAGGAACGCGTATGATATCGAGCCCAGATATGTGGGAACAGGACAAGAAACGGTAGCGTAGTTGTTGCGGAATTGCTGCACTCGTCTGTTGTTCGCCTCGGTCCTGGACAGTCGCTCGGCTCGCTTTGAAGTAGGCAAGGCTCCATCGAAGTAGATGGCAGTCCTGAGAACGTGCGATCAGCAGTGGACGGCATAAGCTCACATCAGCACTCGCATAACGTGCATAGAACGGTCACGGTCAAGTGCAATCAAGCAACTTTCCCATCTCGACTCCACGATAAGTGAAGTTTTCGCGACCCCTGCAGCAATGGCGGTGAAGTGAAGAACATATGTGCGCACCTTATTGGCTTGCCATGGTGGTTCCGTGACCGGGCGCTGAAAAGCAACTGTAGTTTACTCACACCTTGATGTTGCTCTTCTTCCCCAACGAGGTCAGCCAGCGGAGTGCTTCAGCGACGATGTCTGCATAAGACGGGATTCGGGTGGCGCTAGCGGCTGAAGCGAGGGCCAATTTGTGAGCGTAGTAGGCGAGGGCAGGGCCGTCTATCACGGCTGAGTAGCCGTTTAGGTGCATGGGGAGAAGCCGCGTCGCATAGGGTTCGAGACGCCTAGCAAGGCCCTGGATACCCATTTTGACCAGGCGGTTGAGGGTGTTGGGAAGGAAGGTGTGTTCTAGTCGAGACGGAAGGAACGATGGTATGCACACGGCCAGGGTACCCCCGCAAAGGGTCTGGGGCGAAGCGAGGCGGGGAGTGGTCAGTTGGAGGTGTTGTGCAGTGTCTCGGCCTCAGATGCAGGGCTAGTGCATGGGCGCAGCGAGTGTTGGGACGTTGACAAGAAAAAGTCGTCGATGATAGCCAGCGTGGCGTTGGTCTTTCCGCTGACGAGCTAGCGCCGGCGTCATCCCGCGTGGTGGGGGAAGCTGGGCCCCTCACCAGCTCAAAAGTTGCCAGCTGCCACATCGCCCGACTCTCCAATTGCTTCATCTTTCTCTCACAAAGCTCGAAGAACATACACAGTCAATATGAGCGTCCGAACCGTTGAATTGAAGCCTTTCCAGGACCAGAAGCCCGGAACGTAAGTTGACTATACCCAAAAGAGCTGAGAGGTCTGATGAAGCTATGGCGTTGAGGGATGATAGCTGACATTCTCTCCTACAGTTCTGGTCTTCGCAAGAAGGTCAAGGTCTTCCAACAGGAGCACTACTCAGAGTCCTTCGTTGCTAGCATCCTGCAATCCATCCCAGAAGGCGTAGAGGGCGCGTTCCTCGTCGTTGGTGGTGATGGCCGTTACTGGAACCCCGAGGTCACCCAGACCATCGCCAAGATGAGCGCTGCCTATGGTGTCAAGAAGCTCCTCATCGGCCAGAACGGCATCATGAGCACACCCGCCGCCAGTCACATCATCCGGATACGCAAGGCGACGGGTGGTATCCTCCTGACTGCCAGCCACAACCCCGGTGGTAAGTCCTCCACTACGCATACACTTCTCCCATCTAACACAATCAGGCCCCGATGAGGACTTTGGTATGAAGTACAACCTCGCCAACGGTGCCCCGGCCCCCGAGAGCGTTACCAACAAGATCTACGAAACCTCCAAGACCCTCAGCTCGTACAAGATCGCCGACATCCCCGACATCGACCTCAGCACCATCGGTACACAAAAGTACGGAAGTCTCGAGGTTGAGATCGTCCACTCCACCGAGGACTACCTCAAGATGCTCAAGGACATCTTCGACTTTGACCTCATCAAGTCGTTCCTCAAGGAGCACTCCGACTTCAAGGTCCTCTTCGATGGCCTCAGCGGTGTAACTGGTTCATACGGTGTCGACATCTTCGAGAAGGAGCTCGGCATCCCTAACAGCACACAAAACTGCGTCCCCAAGCCCGACTTTGGCGGCCACCACCCCGACCCCAACCTTGTCTACGCCAAGTCGCTGGTCGACGCCGTTGACAAGAACGGAATCCAATTCGGTGCTGCCAGCGACGGCGACGGTGACCGCAACATGATCTACGGCGCAAACTCTTTCGTCTCGCCCGGTGACAGCTTAGCCATCATTGCACACCACGCCGAGCTCATCCCATACTTCAAGAAGCAGGGCATTTACGGTCTTGCCCGTAGTATGCCAACCTCTGGCGCCATTGACCTTGTCGCCAAGAAGAAGGGCGTCGAGTGCTACGAGGTGCCCACCGGCTGGAAGTTCTTCTGCGGTCTCTTCGACTCTGACAAGATGAACATCTGCGGTGAGGAGAGTTTCGGAACTGGCAGCAACCACATCCGTGAGAAGGACGGTCTGTGGGCTGTCGTCGCCTGGTTGAACATCTTGGCCGGTGTCGGACAGCAGACTGGAACTACACCCAGCATTGCGTCGATCCAAAAGGACTTCTGGACGACCTACGGCCGCACATTCTTCACCCGCTACGACTACGAGGGCTGCGAGACCGAGGGCGCCAACAAGGTCACCGCCCACATGAAGGAGCTCATTACCACCAAGAAGGACGAGTTCATCGGCTCCACCGTCGCTGGCCGCAAGGTGCTCGAGGCCGACGACTTCTCCTACACCGATCTTGACGGCAGCGTCAGCAAGAACCAGGGTATCTTCGTCAAGTTCGACGACGGTAGCCGCATCGTTGTTCGTCTGTCCGGCACAGGCAGCAGCGGCGCCACCATCCGTCTTTACATCGAGAAGCACACCAGCGACGAGTCGACATACGACATGGACGCGCAGGACTACCTCAAGGACAACGTCAAGCTCGCGACGGACCTCCTAAAGCTTCAGGAGTACGTTGGCCGCACCGAGCCCGATGTCAAGACCTAAGCGCGTCGTTGGAATGGGGAACGCGTAAATGTAATAAGCATGATTAGACGAATGTACACGAGATATCACAATAGTAACATAGCACCAATAAATGGAATAGCATGGCTGACTGCCCCGTGGCGATAATCTTGTTCGTCATGACCTCGCTGTGTTTGGGCGGGTGTGTGGCTTAGCTCCGACGTCATTGCCCAATCTAAACATGCTCCGTCCGCAGCGTCTCCATAACAGCCCTCCGTCCCCACTGCGA